CTCGTTCTGGCAGAAGGCTACGCAACCTGAGAGCGAGGGCACGTTGCCTGTTTCTTGTAGGGCTACGGCGACAGGCTTGCAGTCTCGCGACGTGAGGAGCTGCGTTAGTGCTCCCCGTTTAGGGCGGTAGCCTCTGCAGTTTTACTGCCACACGAGACCCAATTCCTCCGCCTAGCACTCGGTGTTAGTTCCGGTCATATGCATGTCGCCGTCACTACTGCCTCCCCCCGTTTCCATCGTGGGAGCAGCAAGCTACACTCGTGTTTTGGCTGTATGGCCTCAGTCACAATCGGGCTGGGTGTTTGGGCCGCGACAACTTGCAAGATTATCGGGTTCCCGGTTTGGCTAAGGGAGGAGGTCGTTAGCTCGTTGATTAGACCCGTCTCTTTGAGAACCAGATAAAATCCTTGCATATTAGTTCGAATTTAGCTGTTTGTAATTCTGCGTGGAGAGCTCGTACCTCTCTGTTGAACTCCTCAGGTGTTACAAAGTCTGGTTCTTTTTGGGTTTTGTTGCTCTGCTGTTCGATTAGGGTTCGTTTGGCCGGAGGTGGTTTGGGACTTGATTTCCCTGTTGCCGATCTCGGGTGCACTTGGGTGTTTGTTTGTGTGGTGTGTGTGGGATGGGGTGTTTTGATAGAGGGTTGGGGTGACTGTCCTGCTCGGCTCACCTGCTCTCCTCGGGCTGGACTGCCTGTCGCTGTGAGGCCCTGGAATTCTCTCTGGTTCTGCGGACCTTGTGCCGTCCGCTTGGTTTTCTTTCTGGGTTTCTTTTCTTTTTTCCCAATGTCTCCGGTGCCGGTCTGTACTCGCTCGGTACGGGTATTCCCATCGTTCGTCCGTGGCAGAAATGCTGGTTGCCCGGGTCCCATCCCGGTGCCTGTGTGAGGGCCGCTGCGTAACTCTCCGGACCCGCGTTGGCCAGAAGAGCGTAAGGGTTTGTTGTAGCGACTCCTCTTTTTCTAGCGCCGGCCATTGGTCGAATAGCGAGGTCATCGTTGGCGGTGAAAGTTGCCGCTACCATTGCAGTAGTGGCTATCTAGCGTTGGTATTGTTTTGGTTCTGCTGTTTCTTGATTTCCTTGCACTGTCTCCGTCTCTGTTGCTGTTCCGCCCTCTGCTGGTCCTGGAGCAGCCCCTTGTTATACGGTCCACGCCTTCTCGCCGGGCATTTGGGATTTTTGGACGGATGTTGTCCCTTGCAGTGTATGCAGTAGGTTGAGCATTCGTGCTCCTCCATATCTTCGTTGAGGAGGCTGCATGTAAAGCACTTGTTCTGCTCGGGGTAGGGGCATACGTCTCCTCTGTGCCCTTGCCCAAGGCAGACAACGCAAACCTGCTCCTTGGGAAAGTAGGGTTTGCGCCAGCATTCCATCATTCCGAAGCGTACGAAGCGTGGAACCCTGATTCCTTGGAATGTGATAAGCGCTGCATCAGACTTGCCCATCATGCGTGCGCTGAGAACTCTGGGGCCTTTGGGTCCCATCGGTCTGATTTTCTTGGTTAGATATTCGGTGCAGAACCCGAATCCGATCTTGGTTATGCCTCCCTTTGCAGGAGTCGTCCGGAGCGGCGATGTAGGCTCCAATGTCGTAGTCCTGCCTGTTCAAACTTAGGTGTTTCACTCGGGCCAGTCTTTCCGCCGTGCCGACGTCGGGTGTACTGAAGGTCATTAGGTTCTGGTCCTTGCGAATCCGGATTGTCGAATCTTCCCCTCCTGCTCCTTGAGGCTAGTGCGTTCAAGATCTCTTGGGGGGCTTTTTCGGCAAGTGTGAGCCCACCGAAGGGCCTAATAGCTACCTTGTAGTGATCCCTGGGAAGTGGTGGGAGTCTTTCGGCCACCGGCTTTCGTTTGGTCTGGGAGCCGCCATTTTTCGCCGGGTTCTTTGTGGGAGCCAACGGGGGTTTCCGGTTTTTCCCGCCTTTACCAGTGTCTGCCGCCATGTTGCCCCTCGCGCTCTCGCGTGTCGAAGCTTCGGGAACGTTGTCCGGGTTTTGGAGATTTCGTGCTGATCTGTTGTCCCCCCCGCCTTAGAATCTCGGTTTATGGGAGGCTGTTTTTCTCGTCCTGGTGAACGGTGGTGCAGTCCTCGGAGCTTCCATACCCTTCTCCCGTTGTATGGGTTCGGGATCTCTGGAGTTCCGACGTATCTCCTGGGGGCTCGTGGTATCGGTCTCACTTGTCCCTAGGGTCCTGGTTCATGCCCTCGTGGGGTGTTTCGGCCATTTCGCCCTAGAGGCACCCTGGCCAAGGGCCAATGCCACGGGCAGCCGTCCAGGAGCCCTGGCTGGCGAAAATCTTGGTACCCCTGATTCTGATCAAGATGATCACCGAGGAGGTGGTTGGACCCGGTGGGGCCAGTTGAAGAGATGATCCATGAGCAGAAAAATCAAGCTCGGAAAAACACGTCCGCACTCTTTTTGCACCCCATACAGTTGAACACCTTAGAAACTCAGGGAGTGTCGAGTTCCTAGCGTCTTTATTATCAATTTGCAGCAGCTGGCGGCATTAGCCAAAAAGAGCGCCGCAGAAGAAGTCACACAGCGCGTGCAATGATAAGCCCTGCCTTTCTTAAAGAGGCACTGACACCTTCAAAATATTTTTTTTGTGTTTTTTTTTTCTTTGCTATAGTACGGTACAAGTCAAGAAGGTAGCGGCAAATGCCCCTCAAAGGGAATCATATAACCCTCCGCCACCTCCGCATCCAATAGCGTCCCATCGTTTCCGTGACGTCGCGACCAACGCGCGAGGGGGGTCTTGCCTTTCTGTACATATTTGCTTTATCATCCGACTTTGACTTTGCGTTGTGGAAGCCACGAGAGGGAGATTAGTGTTTTCCCGCTCCGATGGAAACAAATACGACTTTCGTGGATTAGGTTCCCTCTCCGATGAACACAAAGGCTGCTTTCAGGGGCTCAGTTCCGATTAATACAAAGGTCGTTTTTTTAAAAAGCGGGATCGGAGACAAGTTGGCCTCACTCTGTAGCGAATATCTATCCATTGAAGCGGAACAAGGAGCGTTTCCAGTGAACTCTTCTTTCGACCGCAGAGGGATTTGAAACCGGCGCATTACGCTTGTGGGAGGAGCTCCTCCTACCTTCTTAAGTTGTAACCGAGTATAGGCGTTTCACTATGGTGTCAGAAGACTACCCAGTCAATATTTTGCTACAGCGTCACGTATATTTCAATAAAGTAAAAAACCCAACTGCTTGAAACTGAAACCGAACTGGGGAGGAAGAAGAAATATAGAGGAGGAGAAAGTTACTAATGCTTACGTAACTGTGCAGCCTTTTTTTTTTTTTCATTCACTGATTTGCAACGTTTTAAATTGCAAAAATGTCCCAAAAGCCAGTTGAATTCATGATTAAAAACGTTTGCTTGATACTACGGCATTTACGTGCATTTGTGAAACAAGTCCTGCTACGGTTTGAGTGACGTGTGACAACTAGCCAACGAAGGCTCTGGTCGACTAATCGATAGACCTCTCTCTCGACAAAGAGAGGCTTCTTGGAGTTCGTGTTCAAATCTGTTCGTCACGGATATTGTGGGACGTATGGATACGATCGACAGGTGAGAAACAACTTATTTACGGGCTTTCTTGTTCATGTAGGACGCAAGTAAGATGCTGCAATCGTTTTTTTTAATCGCATGATAAATTGCAATTTTGTTCCTTGTCATTATTCGTATGCAGTTGCGTCGACATCTGTAAATATGCGCGCCAATCTAGTTTTCACTGGAAGATGAAAATCAAGTTTGTGTGATTATTGAAAGTGAGTTGTTTGTGGTTCTGTGTTTATTTATACTAAAGTTATTTTATTGCCTTTTCCGCGTTTATACTAGAATCTTAACTGTATTAAGGTGATAGTATTATTATATACAAAACAAGTTATGTTTTGTTCTAAGGCAGCTCGAGCCCATAGGGAGAAGTAAATTAGTAGACTAAGTAGTAAGTTTAGTACCCCTGCCACAGGGAAACGTTAATATATTTTCATTCAGTGATATAGGATTTAATCAGTTCGCGGTCTTGAGTGATTATACGAGCGCCGCAAGCGGATTTGTCGACCCTATAATGTCATTCGATCGAAATTACATTAATTTTGCCATGTGGCCGGGGTATGATGCAAGAATTCAGTGACTGCACGCGATAACGTCGCTTACATGATCGTGAGAAACGCTTGTCTTGCCTTGTCCGCGTTGACTATGTCTACCTGATTTTTAACTGTTCTGTTTTGCTGTTTCAAAATCACTGCGTGTCTCGCCATTTTGTCAAAGTATTTCTGTATAAAATATGCATTCCTACAACAATAATTGCATGACTCAATGTTTTCGACTTAAAACAATCACATTTTTCGATAGACGTCTTGTACGCATACCTCGTGCCATTTCGTACCGATTATTTAGCGGTGTAATATTTTGCTCGTGTAATAAAATGTTTTCTAGACCCGTTGCTATGTGCAGCTTTCATTTTAGCTAACAAGACGCGCGTATGCGACTAAAAACGCGTTACGACGGTCGATCTACGCGCGTTGCATTCGCTTCGACGCGCGCCCCCGATGGCCTTCCTTTGCGACGTCACGAGAAGAGCACTACGGCCTTGTCTTCTAGGAGGTGTTGCGCCAACCCGCCCAAGAGAAGGAACGGGGGAAACCAGGAGAGCGAAGCTGGAATTTTCCCGCTCTCCCCCCCCCCCCCCCCCCCCCCCCTCCCCTCCTCCCGAACCGGCCAGGAGGGACGGCGCGGATGGGGCCGTGGTTGAATTTCCCGGCCGGTTTGGGAGGAGGGGGGGCGGGAAAATTTTAGCCCCGCTCTCCTTGTTTACTCCGGGAGAAGAGTACGTCTCCTCCCGGTTAAAAGTTTGCGGTTGCAAGTAAATTAATTACTTGTAATTAGTCCCGTACAAGTCTGACTTCCTAGGCGATCCCAGTCTCGTTCTTCTCTCACAATTTGTAATGAGCGTCGTTCAAGTCTGAGTTTCATGATAATCCCCGTCTCGTTCCTCTCTCACAGCCTGATGCGGAAGGAGCTCCGGCCGATATCGGGACAGAAATTCCTCAGGTAAATACTGGGTAGCCTTCACAGTCACTGATTGGCCCCAGAATCGGTTCAACACTATAATACACGTATCTCGAAAAGTGACCCAAATTACGAATCACAATTAGATTTTTTTGTGAAGTTAGCGAATTTTCAAATTTTGTTCGAGAGGCCGAGAGGGGCTACTGGCGCAAATCTTCGATCATAAACCAACTGACCCAAATGGCCATCCTAATGGAGCTACTGGCAACACTGAATATGTGACGTCAAAGGATGTAATATGGGGGCAGCACAGCTTGGTGTCGACGAGTTACAAAATGTTGATAGTTTGAAATGAATGCTGGAAAAGCTTACGCAAATCGGAAAGGAAAGGGCAAATTACCTTGTCTCTTAGACAACCTGCTCGGCTTGCAAGCTACACAGCACGTGATTTCCACACACTCAGCGTGGTAAAATTTGAATACTGGTGTTGGCCCAAACTTTCTTTGCCGTTTTCTTAGCTATCTTCAATTTAAAGATAAAAAATAGCATACCTATAAAACTAAAGCCTGGGTATTCCGAAAATCTGTTTAGCATGGGTAGCTCAAAAAACAGCCAGGGTTACTGTTTCACGAGGGGTCGTTCTGCTAAAGGGGAGGAGTGAACGGCGCTGTGCAAGGAGCCTGCCCTGCTTTTCTGAACCTGCAATAGGGTATAGAAAGTGAAGGCAATACTGATTTGTTCTCTAGTATACACTGAACAATCATTGAGACCTGCCTCCCGCGCGAAGTGCCAGGGTTCGATCCCTGGAAGCGACGCGTCTTTTGTTTATCCTTGCAAATTAGTGTTCTAGTAAATTCGAGAATCCTGTTGCTTGTTCGAGGTGCGAATGTTCTCGTCGCCGAACCTACTAGGCCGATTGTTCCAGAAGCCAGCGCTTGTACATAAGGGGATCCCTATGGCGATCCTCAGTCAGTCTCGCTCCAGCGTTCGACTGTGCCCTTGCGGCGACTTCGACGCCCGCGACGCTGTGCTATTATCTTCTGTTTCCTTTTTATTTTTGGGCACAAGTTCGCCACATTAAACGTTCAGTTTACTCAGTTATTCGCCGCCTCATCACTTGTCACTCGTGACCCCAGATTACCCTAGCGATTACTTCCAAATAAATATGTTCAAATATACACAAAATTACTTTAAAAAATGTTTGGTTACAAGTAAATTAATTACTTATAACTAGTCCCGTACAACTCTGAGTTCCTTGACGATCCCCGTCTCGTTCTTCTCTCACAATTTGTAATGAGTGTCGTTCAAGTCTGAATTTCATGATGATCCTCGTCTCGTTCTTCTCTTACAGCCTGCTGCCGATCTTGGGGCAGAAATTCCTCAGGTAAATACTGGGTAGCGTTCACAGTCACTGATTTGCCCCAGAATCGGTTCAACACTATTCGCAACTCCAACGCCCTATAGGTGGCGGGGCGGTAGTTCCAGGATGGCGGAAGAGACGCGGATAGATTCTCCAGGATATCACGTGCGCCTGCTCGCTGGCGCTGTTCAGCGCGCTAAAAATGGTTTATTTGTCTACAAATGCGAAGCGGTTAGGGTGGGATCATATTACAGGTGACAGAGATGCTGATGCACGTTAGGAAAACGAGCATGCTGTTATTTAGAAGTTGCAGAAACCTCAAATTGCAAAGCTTTGTGGTGAGCGAGCGCGTTTTAGGCACCGGCCACGTTACTGTTTGTGGCAGAATATTTTTGAGTGTGATGAAGATATGTTCGCGCCTGGCCATTAGTGCTCTAGAAAGAGAGCCGCGAACGGTGACCGTCAAGCTTCGGAAGGGCAGCGTTCACAGTATTTGTGTCTTCGCGTCACAACACCACAACTCGCTGCTCAACGTCTCGGTTTTAGTGCATTGCAGCACGTAATCAAACTGCTCTCTGGGTATTGATAGAAAGTTTGCTACCGCAGGCTACCGTGCGGTGTGGCATTACAACCGCAAGATCGCGCTGCGCCTTTCAAGCACAATTATCCGTGCGCGCCAGGAACGTTGTCGTGCTCATCACTCTGAAAAATGGTGTAGTCCTCACACCCCTTGTCACATATACGATACTTCAAAACTTCAGTTCGCCGTGCAGCCCACTGACGTCAAACTGACGGCCCCAACTTTTACGAGAGGCTGGATGACGGCGCAATATAAGATATTAAACATCTAAAGTATGCATCGAAGAGTACAGGAAAAAAAAACACCGAGGTTTTGCAGCAAGGGCAAGAAAACCCCGATTACTTTTTTTTTTTTTTACAGTCATTTACATTTATTTAGGCTATTTTAATAAGTTGCACAACTCGGCTATCAATTAAGCCGCTCATGAAAGTGGGTAGCGCCGGTTGAACGTCCGTGCGCTGAACTTACGTCCAACTTAAGTTTAGGGGTGTCGTACGCTCTGCAAAAACTGCCTATTAACATAATCGGCGTGTTTAGGGGTTTTCTTTATAGCTCTATCAAAAATAAATGTTTTAATATACCGTACATTTTTTGTACCGTGTTATTTGCAACATTGCGGTCCCTCTGGCCAAACCTGCGCATCCTAAGCTCTCGTCACGAACGGCTGGCTAACACAGACGCACTTGAAATGCTTCGAGCATTTCTTTATTTGCTTTCCCTATTGAAAATTCCATCAACGTACGTAATTTGGGACACTGACTGCCAGTCAGCAGCCTTGGTGGAACGTGATGGACCATCAGACGTCATCTGATGGTCCATCAGATGACGTCTGACTGCCACTGCCAAGGGAATTTCATCAACAAGGGCAGCATTTATATAAGAGTAAACTATACGCACTCATAAATATCGCCAAATGCCTCAATAAAACAAAAAGCTCGAGAAAAAAAAAGAAAAAAAAAAGCAGGACCACCGCGGATCGAACCCGCGACCACTTGCGTACGAATCGGACACGGTAACCGCTATGCTACGCCGCTTTTTTTTTTTTTTTTTTTAGAGAACTAGATTTCACCATCCGCTTTATATGAGATGCTTCGGTTGCAAATGCAGTTAAGACTTCAGCATGTTATGCAAAGCACTCGCACGTCACTCGCCGTACTTGAGTTCTACTCACCTGCCATGTAGAGCACTTTCGCGTCGTAGAACGATCCGTTTGTTCGCGCGTCACCGGCCCAGTAGACCTGGTACACCTTGTCGTCTTCAACTACACCGCTAAAGTCCTTTACATCGTCGGAACTCACAACAGGCTGGGTCTTGTCGAGTAGAAATTCTACTAAAACATAAGACATTGTAGAGCCCGGGCAGGATCGACAGGTTGGAGCAAGCGGGCAAACAAAACGAGTCGAGAGCGATCGTTCATGAAAGCTCGGCGAAGCCTCTATGGGCGAAGCGAAGTGCGAAGTGTCGTTTTCGGCGCTTCGGCGGGCTTCTGATCAAGGTTGTCGGTCGGTTGCTTGTAATATCTCTAACGTCAGCGGTTTTATGGGCTCACGTCCCGAAATCGTTTTCTCGTGCATAGATTACTTTTTGTATTCATAGATTTGACGAAATAGTAGTATCCGAACGAACTTTACGTCCTTTGACCGTACGTCTGTCTGCACGTCAAAGCTTTCTGACGTACAGTCAGAGACAATCGATGTACAGTCAGAATCACCACCAAAGACATCCTGATGGCATTTCGCGGCGGCCGACTGCCACCAGGAAACCATCAGAAAACCGACTAGCGGGGTCTGACTGGAGTTTGACTGTCGGTCAGAGTAACCTGTTTGCCAATCAGACATGCTTGACGTATACAGTCAGGCACAGTCAGCGGTCCACTAGAAAACATTGACTGCCAAACAGGATTACATTGATGGATTTTTCCTTCGGGTTGTAATTACCTGAAAGCAAGTGCCGGTATTCTGTATTTTTAAAGTGCTTGCAGTAAACGGTCATGTTCCTTGTAACGGCCTTAAAGCGCGAACCCATTTCCGAATTGTATTGCTCGACGTACGTTGCGCGACGAGTTTCTCCTACTTATAGCAAAGCTTCATTATTAGCGGGAGCGTTTTCCGTCACGTTGAGCTCAGATTCAGCTGGCGGCCATGCACAAGACCAGAAATCCGCAGCGTACGCGATACACGAGAGGTCCCTAATGAAATTAGACATCCCGTTCCTTCGTGCAAGGCTGTTGCACGGCGGAGCACAAGAATTCCTTTTTTAACGCGCTCACTCTTTTTGTTAAAACGGCTTCACGCCTCAAGGCCCACAGTCCCTGCCACCGTTTCCGCGCCGCCGTCGCCGCCGCTGCCGTCCCCGCTCCTCTGGTTCTCCGTTCGTCCGCGGGAGGGCGAGCGGCGCGCTGGAGTTGCGAATAATACACATTTCTCAAAAAGCAACCCAAATCACGAATCACAATTAGATTTTGTTGTGAAGTTAGCAAATTTTTAAATTTTGTTCGAGAGGCCGAGAGGGTCGAGCTACTGGCGCTTATCTTCGATCATGAACCAACTGACCCAAACTGCCATCCTAATGGAGCTACTGGCAACACTGCATATGTGACGTCAAAGGATGCAATATGGGGGCAGCACAGCTTGGTGTTGACGGGTTACAAGATATTGATAGAGTTAAATGAATGCTGGAAAAGCTTACCACAGCAAATCGAAGGGGAAAGCGCAAAATGCCGTGTCTTTTAGACTACCTGCTTGACTTGCAAGCTGCACAACTCGTGACGTCCCCACACTGAGCGTGGTAAACTTTGAATACTGGTTTTGGCACAAACTTCCTTTGCCGCTTTCTTAGCTATCTTTAATTTATATATAAAAAAATAGCATGCATATAAAACTAAAGCCTGGGTATTCCGAAAATCTGTTTAGTATGGGTGGCTCAAAAAACAGCCAGGGTTACTGTGTCACTTTAAAGAGCCCATGAAAAAAAATTTTGGGCTGGGATAAATCAATTTAGATTGGGATTTTACTAATAGCACATTGTTCAGTAGGCCAAAAAAAAAATGTTGGAAAGTCAAAAGCCTGAGTTTCGGTACGAAAATTTGAAAACGCAGCGGACTATTTCGTACCTCCTTCCCTTCGTAAGCTCTCTGCCTTTTCACTGTGATACATCCGCGGTCCCCAAAGTGCGTCACCGGGTACAAACGCACGTCACACGACACCGGACCTCACTTATTCCCTTCACCCCTATAAGCTGGCATTGCGGTGGAAGCTACGCGCTTGCCGGACCATTCAGCCGCCTCCCTTTCATCACTTGAACTCATTCACTGCGCGTGGGTATGCGCGAGAGAGCGCAGTGATGTGATGGCTGCGCCCATCGCGTCAAGCTGCGCCAAGGGGCTAACCCTGCTACATCCTGCTACTTTTCGCCAAAATATGGGTAATATGCGCCAAGCCTGCGCCAAAGGACCAATTTAGATCGCCTTTCAAAACTGAAACTAACCGTACTGTAGTTGAGCAGGCGAGTGTTATGTGGCGCAAGCGGCCACCTGACACAAAGTACCGTGCATAAATAGGATACGAACACGGCATTTCTGCCGACGTCAAGCGCGTTTCAGCGGATTTCGTTGTCGTCTTTTTCGATGTACTCTCGCGGAGTGCTTTGTGTTCCCCTAGTAAAATGTTTGCTCGGACCATCCTTTGCGTAATCGCAAGTCGCTCGAAATTCTAACAAACGACGTTTTCCTCCCCTCTCAGGCCCGTGGCTTCCGCAGCATACTGCGCGCAACTGTCCTCCGTTCACCCCTAAGCTGACAGTGCTGAGGAAGCTACGTGCGCGTTGGGCCAGTCACACTTCAATCTTTTGCCCCGTGATCAGGCTCCCTTGTGCGTGCGCACCATAGAGTTACTACGATAAACGCTAGAGGTTCAGGTGGCGGTAGTGCGCTGTTGCATTTTGAAGCAGACAGCAAGCAGTCTAAATTTGACTCCCGGTAATGCATTCTTATACCCTTCGCGCTCGATTATAAGAGCAAATTCTGTTTAGTGTTGTGACAGAATAAGAAATTTGGGACGTTTTACAGTCGGATGTACAAAAATATATGTCAGTTAAAGCGTTTTTTTCTTTGAAATTCGTGGCGTTGAAAATCTGCCCTTAAATAGCCCAATGCACATGAATAATACGTGTTGAGCTTACAGACTGCTATTATAGCCACGTATTTACGCATATAGTCAATACTATAAAGCAGTGGTTCTCAAAAGGGGGTCCGCGCACGTTTGGAGTCCGCGAAGGCATTCTAGAAGTCCGCGAAGCCCTGCTTCATCAGTCAAGCTCGGCAATAAAGCTTTTCTTTTCTCATTTCGAAAAGAAATGTTTCAGTTTTCGGGCGAGTTTTTTCGTGTGTATGTCGAAAAGAGAGGTCTACTTCATACTAGCCCTTAGATATATCCACGTTTAAATT